AGCCTTCCACTGTAAAAGACGTTCATTCAATTAAAAACGAACACAGCAACAGAAAATGTCAAACGCCAGCTTACCAGGAAATAAAAACATCACACTTACGTCATCCATAGTCTCTGCGACCGCTATATTAGGACCAAGACATTCTCCCTTCAAGTTGCAAACCTTTGAGTGACCACCAGCATATGCATCAGCATTGGGGTGCTTCATATTACTTTCACAGCCGTAGCATTGACCTTCGTTTAAGGAAAGAGAGGAGATAAGGACCTTTAAATAATGATAGCTGATTAAGTGAAGGTAATAATACACATGGATGTGCATGAACTTGTTTGAGATATCACAATGCAAAGTTCAAGGATAATCGATAAGATGACACGAGGCACAAACAAACAAACAGGTCAATTCAGAGATCATACACTAAAGACATAAACGTTTAAACTGTATTTTAGTAACACATGATAAGAGTATAAAGTACCGTTATCAAAACGGTCAACCATGGAGACCTTTAAATAAAGAGAGGAGATAATGACCTTTAAACAATGATAGCTGATTAACTGAAGGTAATAAACTAGTTTGAGATATTACACATGGATGTGCATGAACTACTTTGAGATATTACAAGAATAAAATCCCACGAGGCACAAACAAACAGGTCAACCATGATAAGAGTAAAAATACGGTTTGAAAGAAAAAAACGTTTGAACTAAATTTCAGCGACACTTGATGAGAGTACAAAATACCGTTATCAGAAGGATCAACCATGCAGGTACAGCTGACCACCAATTTTTTGTCTTCTCCTGGCATACGTTTGACTTCAGAAAAGAATAGATTGTCGGCGGTCTTTGCTCCTTTGGTCCTTGTAGTGAAATTAATATGGTAGTAGAGGCAGTTGCCCTCATATATTACTTCGTAGCACACAACATCTTTAACTTCAAACGCAAGATCCTGAGATAAGAAGAATGGATCCCATCAGCGACTAGTTGTTAGATGAACGAATAGGACAGTCGTATAACACAAAGCAATACAGGTAGCATGATAAAGAGTAAGGACAGGAAGGAGGACAAAGAGCAAACCTTGAAAAGATTGTGATCCTCGTTATACTTGTCCACCAAAGCTTGAACCAGCTGGAGCATCCAGCAACGGCTTTCATCAACCGGCTCAGATTTCACGTACATCTTCTTTGAGCCATCAGGCCAGAAAAGAGAGTCCCGTATACCCCTCTCAACACTAGCCTTACCCACTTCATAGAACTCAGGTCGCTCCTCGCACCTAGTTTAGATCAGAGATTCCTTCATGGTTAATATATTTTACTTTCACAAACAGTGGAGTGTACAAAGAGGTACTGGCTATAGTTTCAATGCTATCATCCGGAAATAGGATTAGGGACAAATAGTATGCATGCAGGATTGTTTTAACAAGGATCAAACAGCTCGCACATGTCTTCTGGCGTAGCTCATGACATTAATCGACCAAAACGAAAGAGACCTACATACAAAATTACAAAGTGGTAGCACATATAGCATCTATATTAATTTGACGCACTACTTCAGCAACTCTCTCACAAATACAGTTAAAATGTCTCCTTAACTTGAAGTGGTCTCAGAACAGGAACTTAAAAATTAAGGCAGTTCGGTGCGTCATTTTGTTTCTTCTGTATGTATGAAAGTACCAAATTTTCTATAATCTAACTAGGGTTCATTCGTTCTTCTCCTGATTAATTATGCAAAAACTGTAATCACCTTTGGGGCTTAAAACATAGAAGGAAAAAGCATTAATTGGAACTTGTTTGACTATATTATCAATTGCAAGCGTGCACGCAAAGAAAAGAGTTGAGAAACTTTACATTATTGGATCCCGACGGTCATGAAGATAGCGATCAATGGCATTGTTAACTTGCTCTAAGCTCTGAAATGGCCCACCCACATGAGGATATGTGTGGAAATATCCATGAAGATCGATCCTGGTGTAAAATGTGAGCCCCCAATCACACTGGTATCGGACCCAAATGGTGCCGCGCTGAGAGGACGAGGACGTGGCAGTGATGGACAATCCCTTCAATGTTGTAACATCAACCAAGTTGTTTGATGGCGAGACATCCGGCTGCTGCAGCGTTTCTCCGGATGCAGACTCAACCACATGCTCCTGAGACCTGAAGCGGAACAGGCAGATTGGATGAGCAAAACAAAAATTATCTTAGGCGGTGAATGAATAATCCATGGTATCATCGTGGCAAAAGGTTGATAAGAGGCCTGAAATCGGTGTGAAATACGGGCTGGATTGGTTAGTTGCTGCTAAATTCTGCGCTGCCGGTGTTGGGAAAGCCAAAATTTGGCAAGTCTCGTGATTGGTTTGCCAAGTATTGGCTCGAAGCCAATTGGATGCAAAAAAAATATTGGTGAGCAAAAACAGGAAGAGTACCAAACCAACCATTCCCTGTACAGAAACCCTTGTTATCCTAAATCCTCCATTGATGAATGAACGATCGAAGCAACAAGCCGCCATTGACAAATGAAACAATTTGACTTGGACTAAACATGATGATATGTAACAAGATGGGGAGGCTGGGTGGCCATACGGCAGTTGGCTGAGCTGTTTCCGAAACAAATTGGATAACGAGGGAAGCCAGGTCCATGATGATGGCGATTCCTCCAATGTTGCAGTCGGCTTTTGCTGCTCATCGTACCAATGTTGCGGTCGGTGGCCATGGCGGAAGAAGGAGGTTAGGGTTTCTTTCCCGGGGAGAGGAGGAGAAGCGAGATGGAAGGAGGTCGACGGTATGGTATGGCCCACTTGTCATCAGGATACATACACACACAGTTCCCCGAGGCCCCGACGCATCCACGCCGGCGGCGACTGGTGACAATGCCGGCGAGAGAGAGAGAGAGAGAGAGAGAGAGAGAGAGAGAGATGCTTACATCGAGGCAGGATATGGAAATTGCTCCAATGCCTCCCGTCCCGCTACCGTACCTACGCTCCAAACCAAATCGATCCCCGCAGAGCCGATCATGGGACATGATGTATAGACTATGGAGGGTTCGAGTCGGTTCCGAATCGTAGCACTAGTCCAGTTTCCAATCCTTCACAAACACGAGTTGGCAGCGATTTTCTTTTCGCTAGGAACGTTCGCCAGGAAATATTACCGTTTCCTTTTTATGTGTTGCTAATGCACCCCTGTAATCAATGGATTTGCTCTCTTAGAACACCTAATAAAATCGGCCGTGTCAAATTCTCCTCAAACATCCATGGACGCGCCCAGTTAGTAACCGGACAAAAGAAAAGAGAAAAAATAGTGACTCAACCAAACCCTATATACGCGGGTTGTCTGCAAATTTTCGTATTGGGAACAAATATAGAAAGGATACGAGGGGTCACGTCCGTCACGTAGGATGTGACCCAACTCCACCTTTTCTCTTTTTTTATTTTCTCTCTCTTCATCTTCACAGTTCACATGTAAGTGATCGAATATATACGAAAGAAATAAAGAGTATGACTGTATGAAGAACAAATAAAGGCTCAAAACGGATAGGCCGGACACTAGTTGGTACATCCATGGCCATTGAGGGGGAATGGATTTGCTAAATTCAGTTGTAGATGCCATCACAACTAGTGTACAAAGCCAATTGATAGACCAGTTTTTTCGGAAAAACTTCCGATCTTGTGAAGATTTTTTTGAAAATGAGGATAACCCGTGATCAATGCATTGAACAATTTACACAACCATCTTTATTATATTATTGTTCAATATATGTTGACAAAAATAAATACATAGATGTCGCTACACCTACTAGCTTCATGATGTGCAATGACCACGCATCAACACACACACCATATAATCCAGTAGCCTCACCAAGCAGCCCCATGACAACTCGAGATCACCAACCAGTCTAACAGATCGGTGGTCTAGGAGTGCACGTGGTAGGATCTCACAGCTAGGCTGCAATTACCATTAACATGTTCATGTTTCTGTACGCGCTCGTGGCTGGTGGTGATGGCTCACGCAGGTGACATTTGGTTTCCATGAACCACGATCTGCAGTCGAGCGGAGGCTCTCAGCAGGCAGTGGCGGACCTAGCCCACTGGGCCAAGGTGGGCCAATAGTGCAATTTACATATACATTTATTTCGTTTCTTTTTTTTATTGGCCTTTATGCTATAGTACAATAGTGGCTATTTCCAGATCTCAGGGTGGGCTGTGGCCCACCCTGTCCACCCCCTACCTCCGCCACTGTCAGCAGGCAATAACTTGTGTTTTCCAGTTTCCACTCGTGTTGACGGAGGCGGTGGGAGACAGATGATTGTGTGGGATGTTTTTCTTTCTCTTCATATGGGAGACGTACGATTTTAAAAGCGGAGGTGCGTATAAGAAAGAAAAGACTCTTTGTGTGGGAGAAGAACGGCTTTAGAATTGAAGATGGCCTAAGAAAGAAAAGGAAGAAACGAAAAAAATTAAAGGGGTTTTTCTAAATGAGCATGTGATAGGCCAAACTAAATATATCACCTCTTTTTATTGGCGGGTATAAATAATACGAATTCCAATTATTTCTACCAAATACATTATATACTATTTCAAAAGGTAAACCAACAATAAGAAACCATTCAAATGTCATCCTCGCGAGTGTGCGAGCTCCTTTGCTTGTGTTTATATAAAGAGCAAGAAGCAGAAAATACTTGTTGGGAGCTAAAAATATAGTCTCTCCGTAAAAAAAAATATGAGTGCGTTTAGATCATCACTAAATCAAGATGGAGGGAGTACTTGTTAATTTATTTTTGAGAGCTGCAAATACTGGCTTTTTTTTAGCAAAATACTCACTGTAAAGAAATATAAGGGTGATCTAAACGCTTTTATATTTTTTTACGGAGGGAATAGTAGTTAATGGGAACATAGAGAGAAGGACAAATACCTGACCCACGAGAGCATGGGCCGGCCCATACGACACCACTCCTTCATTCCTCAAATCATTTCTTGCTCTTCCGCAAGCCGAAACCCTCGCTCCGCCGCCGGCCATGGCCGACCCGCAATTTATCCTCGGCACCTCCATCTCCGAAATGCTCACCGGCATGGAGCTACACGGCGAGGACCCTCAGAAGCTGGACCTCGGCACAAACTATCTGCTTTACTTTGTGTACGACTACCTTCCGCACCCGCCGGTCTCCCCCACCGCCACCCTCTTGCCCTCCGGCTTGGCGTTGGTCCCCGACGGCGTCGACCGCATCAGCCGCCTCTCCGATGCGGTCCTCCGCGAAATCGTCTCCCGCCTCCCCGCCAAGGACGCCGCGCGCACCGCCGCCCTCTCCTCGCGCTGGCGCCCCCTCTGGCGCGCGGCGCCCCTCTCCCTTGTCGACAGCCACCTGCTTCCGGACGGCGGCGCGTCCGGGCCGCAAATCCTCGGGGCTCCCTCTCCCCGCGCCGTCACCGCCGCGGTGTCCAGCGCCCTGGCAGCGCACCCGGGGCCCTTCCGCTGCGTCCACCTCACCCGCAGCACGATGGAGGAGCACCGGGGCGAGATGTCGCGCTGGCTCGACATCCTCGTTGCCAAGGGGGTCCAAGAGCTCGTCTTTGTCAACCGCCCTTGGCCGCTAGACCTGCGCCTCCCCGCCACGATCTTCGGCTGCGCCTCTCTCACCCGCCTCTATCTCGGCGTGTGGAGGCTCCCGGACACCGCCGCCGTACCGCGCGGCGCCAGATTCCCCAACCTCAAGGAGCTCGGCCTCTGCATGAATGTCATGGAGGACCATGATCTGGCATTCATGCTTGAAAGAAGCCCCGTCCTGGAGTTCCTCGTCCTCATGGGGAGCCAGACCGGAGTGCGCCTCCGCCTTGTCAGCCATAGCCTGCGGTGCGTTCAGCTGGGGTTCACCATGTTGGAGGACATCGACGTGGTGGATGCCCCTCGCCTGGAGAGGCTCTTTCAGTGGCAAATTGTCTCTCCGGGACAGGTCGCCATGAACTGCTCTTCCAGGATCAAAATTGGCAGTGCACCTAACCTCCGTGTGGTGGGATACCTTAAGCCAGGAGATCAAGAGCTGGGGATTAGCAACACCGTCATCGTGGTACTCCCAATCTATGTATCTGTGCTGATACTCCCAATCTATGATCCCAAATAGTTTATCTGACCTTGGGTGCATCATTTACAGGCTGGGGCCAAGGAGAGCATTGTCCCTAGTGTCCAAATTTTGGCCATAGAGGTGCAGTTCGGCCTCCGCAATGCTGTCAAGAAAGTGCCTGGCTTTCTCAGATGCTTCCCTAACCTGGAGACGCTCCATGTCTATGTAAAACTGGTTAACTTGCTGCATTGGCAATTTTGCAATACTAGTTTCTGTGTTATAAGATATACTTAAAAAGAAAACTTATTGTGTATCTAGCATGGTCAGAACTGTGGATCAGATTAATCAAATATCTAGTTCCTGAACTTGTTTGAGACTAAAGTCTTAGTAGTTGTTGTTGCTTATAGATAAAATACCTGAACTAATGTATGCACTGATCGATTTCATCTGCAGCCCCGCCGCATATCTGAAGAGTCCACTGGCAAGGTCAATCTGAAGTTCTGGCAGGAGGGCGGTCCCATGAAATGCGTCGTGCAGAGCATGAAGAAGGTGTTCTTCTATGAGTTCCAAGGGTCGAGAAGCGAGCTTGGTTTCCTCAAGTTCATCGCGGAGAGAGGTCGGGTGCTGGAGCAAATGGTAGTTGTGGTGGCCAGCAAATGTTTCTCCTCTGGCGAGGATAATGTGAGGGCCAAGCTGAAGCCTCTAACGAGCGCGAATTGGAGCAGCAAAGCTTGCAAAGTAGAGTTCTCCAAGAGCCCGCACACTGAATCTGGAAGTCCTATTTACAGCAACAAGATAGCTTCTGATTTTGGGTTTGCTGACCCTTTTGACCTCCTCGAGTACCACTAGATGCAGAGAGGATCTCTGTAAGTTAGTAATTAGTAGCACTATGCCAGTGCCTCTGGTGCTGCAAGACTGTGGTGTTCTTGGACTTGGCAGCATTTCTCTTGGCAAGCTGTGGCCCCGCCTTCGTAACAAAACTCATTCAAGCTCAGCTGCCAAAACTGCTGTCTATCACCTTCGTCCTAACAAATAATGGCCAGAAAACCTTTTTCTGGCTGGACCGCTGGCTCCAAAACACCCCCCTAGCTGACGCCTTCCCGAGCCTCTACCCCCACTCCACAAACATTCACATCCCTGTGGTAATGATCATGCGATATGGGTTACAAGCAAACCTGACGAACAGGCTAACCGCGGCTGCTACACGCGAACTCGCTGCTCTCTCCTTGTTGTTGCAGGACTTTCAGCTTACTGACGCCCCGGACGAACGGTTCCTGACCCATGGCAAGGGATACTCCTCCAGGCAGGCGTACCAGCTCCTACTTCAGGAGGATATTGAGGACGACCACGCGGCGCTGATCTGGCGATCCAGAGCCCCTCACAAGCTCAAAATATTTGCTTGGTTGCTTTTTCGTGGACGGCTAAACACCAAGTGCAACCTGTTTCACAAGACAATCGTCCCTGATGCCTCCTGCCCGCGCTGTGGCGGCCCATCTGAAGACACTGCCCACCTGTTCCTCCTCTGCCCTCACGCAGCTCGGATTTGGGAACGGTTGGGTCTCTCCCCATCGTCAAGATTCCAGGACCTATGGCTACTACCGGTACCCGCTAACTTAAATGGTCGCGTTTGGCCTGAGGTGCTACTCATGATACTCTCCAAGATATGGGATTCTAGAAACGCGGCTGCCTTCCGTAACGAATCACATTCTGCCATCCTCACTGTGAGGAACATCTGTAATGATCTTGAAATTTGTAATAACCGCTTCAGAGACCCGGTTGACAAGGCAGTTGCCAACTCTTGGCTGCTGTTCCTTACCTCACGGCTAGCCGTG